GGAGGCCGCCAAGCTCGTGGCCTGCCTCTGCGTGCGTGAGTATCGGCCCCGGGGCCCCGGGACCCCGGCGGGCGGGCGGGTGGGGGGCGCGGAGCCGAGGCCGCCGCGCGCCCGCGTCCCGGGCCCCTCCCCGCACTCCTGGACCATCCCCACATCCCGCGGCCCCGGGCTGACCCCGCAGTTTTAGACTGAGGGCATTAGCCCCAGGACCCACGTGCGTTTCATTCATTCGTTTCCTCACCGCCTTGGGAATTCTGCAGACAGCAGGGTCCCCGCCTTGAGTCTCAGGCCGGAACTAGCCTTTCCACTTAGTCCATCCAGAGCTCTTGGAGCTGAAGCAATATCCTTACTTTCTTGCAAGACACCCACGTGGAGTGCTTGAAAAGCCAATACCTGTCTGTTTGAGTTCCCAAAGGAAACTCTTTTTCAAGAGAGAAATCGTAGTTTAAAAAGAAAAATACCAAAAAAAACCGCACACCTCATTCAAACCAGTTAATCAGGAAAGGCTGACTCATACAAAACCAAATAGTAATAAGATTCTGTGTGGGCAGTGAATGAGTTGCTCGTGTAGGCAGCAGTGTTGAGTCCCCTGAAGGTTGCCTAGTGAGTTGTAAAAGATAGGTGCTTGGCTGAAACTTAAATGTGTGCAGGGTGTCTTTGGGGTCCCAAGCTGTGCTGAAATACAGCCATTGGGTACAGTCCAAATGTTGGTGGATAAGGCCCCAGTATGTTGGTGGAGGAGGTCCTGGTACGTTGGTGGGCTGTTTTCTGGTGGGATTTCAGGGGAAAAAAAAATCATTTGTATCAAAAGCCACGCAATTTTCTTTGCTCTGTGGCTGCTGCAGTTTTACGCCTACCCCTTGGCAAACATCTAAGGAGACTTGCAAGATGGAAGTGTCCTGCTTTCAGTGCTGCCACCTGATTTGAGGCTCTGTCTGCACCTTGACGGTACACAGAAGTGCAGAGCTAACAGGGCTGGTTTGTGGTTTCTGTCCGAGCCCCAAGACTCAGGGGACTGTGCTATCCCTAGGAGCGGCTTCTGACCAGCAGTACATGCAGATGCTGTTGGGATTCTGAGCCTGGGGACCAGCTTCCCGCATAAGCTCACTGCGTGGTGGTGGTAGTGTTGAGGGGCTTTCAGAACTCTGAGGCACGCTCTGGGAAGTGGTGACCCCAGGAGACCTGACACCCTGACAGAGCAACTACGCTGGTGGGGGGGGGGCGTTTTGCCTTTTGGGGGAGTCTCAGCGATGAGGATCGCAGCTTATAAAAACTTTTGGTCCAGGAGCTTCCCTGGTGGCGCAGTGGTGGGGAGTCCGCCTGCCGATGCAGGGGACACGGGTTCGTGCCCCGGTCCGGGAAGATCCCACATGCCGCGGAGCGGCTAGGCCCATGAGCCATGGCCACTGAGCCTGTGCGGCCGGAGCTTGTGCTCCGCAACGGGAGAGGCCACAACAGTGAGAGGCCCGTGTACAGCAAAAAAAAACAACTTTTGGTCCAAGTTTAGGAATAATCACAGCAACAGTCGATCTGCCTGAGGACAGGGGAAACTGTGGTTTCTGGTGGGCTTCTCAGATGATGCTTTGGGCTGAGTAAGGAAAAGCCCCAATTAAAGAATTTTAATTGTGCGATTTTCATCATTGCTAGATCTTATTTAATGTTTCGGCCCAGGACGTAATGACACGATACTGCCTTTAAAGGGCCCACTTTCTAGTCTTGGAAAATGGATCCCTTACTTTCTTAAACTTTTGGGTTTAAGCAGGTAAAGGCTCGGGTTGGATTCTGGAGGGGCTGTGGTGGGTACACCCTCACCAGGACTCCAGTCACCAGCGTGGAGGGTCACGTGAACAGCACCCCTTTGGGTGTGAGCTAGCGTGACGTTCGTCATGTGTCCATCAGCCATTCTCAGCTCTTTTCCTCTGAACCACCCATGTGAGTGTGGTGTGTGTGTGTGTTTGTTGCTTTTTCTGATGGAAAGGAGGTTTTCAGTAACAAAAAGGGATACGTTGTCTGCAGGAGTGAGCGCTAGTCTAGAGTCTGCTGTGTCTAGAGGGGGACGTGGGCCTGTCCGAGGCTGGCGGAACTCGGAGCCGCGGGCCCGGGCTGCTCTCACGGGCACAGAGAAAGGTAATGGCCATGCAGGGAGGGGGCCTGCTCTTCGGGGTGTCTGAGAAGGCAGCAAGAAGCCACAGAAAGTTTCTTGAGTGGTGTTCGATTATCGCACACAGGCTGGGTTCTAGAACTTCTAGAGAGGAGAAAGGGCCCCCTGCATCGCCTGCTTCATGAGCCCCCTCCCCGCAGGGGGCACGTGCACCCCTGGCCCAGCAGCCCGTGCTGGTGCTAACCCCGGGGCCTGCTCTTTGAACAGTGGATCATGGGATCCGGAGCCACGTTCTTCTCGCTTTTGCTAGTTGATCGTTCCTGTCCCCTGGTCTCGCCCCAGGACAGCCCCTTTCTGCTTATTGTGACTCAGTTTGGCTTTGGTGCTTAGAATGATCCCACTGACAGTATAAACGGCGGGGAGCGGAGGAGTCCATGTTCTGGTAGGTCTGACGAAATGGGGCCTCTCATGGCGGGGCCCTGGTGTTTCCATGTTTTTAGCGGGTCACGAAGGTGAGAGAGGGACACGGGCTCCGTAAGTCTTTGCCGATGGCCCCGGGAGTTCGGTTTGCTCGGGTTATTTATCACTTAGCGAAAACTTGGTAGCGTTAGTTTGAGATTCAGATGACACTGGGTTTTATCTTTGCGACAGAAGAGAGGTGAGGTTCTCGCCTGGCCGGGTTTTCGTCTGCAATTTCTCTAGCCTTCCTGGCCTCCTCTCTCTGTGATGGGTCCAGTGGGATCTGGAAAGGCTGGACGAGGCATACACAGAGAGGAGCTGCCCAGGGCACGTACTTGGGAGCCACTGTGGTTCAGAAACAGCTGCGACCTGAGTCCTTTGTCTCGCGGAGAAGGTCCTAAGAGAAGGGTCCGGGCAGGCTCCCGTCTCCCTCTGCTGGACGGGGGCCTTTCTGAGTTGTCGTGGTCACTCCTGCCCAGGACACGGAGGTCAGGGAAGTGGCTGCAGACCTGGTCGCCCGCCCTCCTCCCTCCCTCTCCCTCTGGGGGGGCGGCCCCCCGGCCCCCATTGTCAGGCACGTCATCCATCCTTCGTCCTTCTTGGCGAAGCCAGCAGGCCCGCTGGCGGCCTAGAGGGGCCTCTGCGTCCCCTCCCGGCTTGGTGGCCCTTGGTGTGGCCTGGAAAGCGCTTCCTTCCTGCCTTGTCGCCGGGGACAGCCAAGGCTCCCCTAGAGCGAGCTGCCCCCCGCCACTGTCACCCTTACTCGGGAAACCTGCGTGGAGTGGGGGCAGGGGGTCCTCAGCTGTTGTTCCTCTAGGGACCCGTGACCTGAGATATTTTCCACTGGTGTCGGGTTCTGATTTGAGAAATTCACGGGACCTCCTAGCCTCAGTTTCCGCATCTGTGACATGGGGGTTCGTGGTGGGTGTTTGTGAGGAGCCTCGGCCACTGCGTGTCTAACGAGCATGGCACCCAGGGACCCCGGTCACACGGCGGCTGTGATTGTTCTCAGCAGTGCCCTCCTGCGGGCGTTCGCCCTTGACCTCTTGAGCCGCCCTGCAGACTGCTCTCTCCTGTATTAGCAGAAAGAAGGAAGGAAAGCCTGGGAGAGGAGGAGGGAGGCCAGCGTCGCCCTGTCGGGGGCCGAGCTGAGCTGCCCATCGCACAGGCCGCACCGGCACCGCGGCCCTGCCGGGGGCGGGTGGGGCGGCCCCGCCCAGGGCTGGGGCACAGCTGTCCCCCCGCAGGGGAGGGTGCAGGTGAGGCAGGGGTTTGGTGGCTGGGGGTGAGCCGTGGCCAGCTGGCTCCAGGCCAAGTTGGTCTGTTGGGGTCATGAGCCGAAGGGGGTGGGGGGTGGCAGCACACCCTCTCCCCCAGGCTTCCCGGCGTGTCCACCGCTGTGTCCCCGGGCCTCAACCCAGACCTGTCACAGCGAGGCCGGCACACAGCCCGAGGCCGGCTCAGGGTGTCTGGACGCCTGCCAGCCGCCCGGCCTGAACCCCTCGCCACGTGAAGCAGAGGCTTCTGGGTGTTTCCAAGGAGCTGGCAACCCCAGAATCGCGAGCTGTGAGCTGAGTGTAGACGACAGCATGGTAATTAGCCCTGAAATCCGACTTCCTGGGCCAGACATGAAAGCGCTCCGGCTCGAGTCACGGGGCGTGGCGGGAACTTGACAGAGCGCATGACTGAGGGAGGGCATTTCTGACCCTTTTCCCCTGGGTCACGGACCCCTTTGATGATGCATGGAATGTGCAGACCTTGCTCAGAGGCGTCCACCCTGCTCGTTCACCCCAGGCTCACGGGGAGAGCTTCCCAGAACCCCGGGGCCCTGTCCAGGTTGGGAGCCTCCCCCCGCCCCCCAAGAGCGCTGCCCCCGTCACGGCATAAACGGCCCAGCCTTTGAAATCAGTGTCATCACCCCCACTTTACAGCCAGGGAGACTGCGGTGCGGTGGGCGGGAGCCGGGCCTGTGTCGCCCTTCCCCTCCGGGGCTGCCTCTGTCATCCGGCGTGGGGACATGGCCGTGTCCGTGCTGGGGGTATCAGGCGTCCGGGACAGTGTCGGTCGCCATGTCCAGGCGCCAGGTCGTCAGGGGCACACACTAGCGGATCTGAGGTGTGTGTGTGTCCTGCCCCCACACTGTGGGGAGTCGGACCCCTTATAGGGAACCATCTAGAAAAACCTCCATCTTCCTCTCAGAACTTTGCAAATGAGCTTCCAGGGCAGGGTGGCTAACAGCTGCCCCATGGGTTCCGTCTGCCCAGTGGCCACGGACCCTGTCCCATGCCCATGCTGGCCTCCAGTTCCTGTCCCCTCCTTCGGTCACTCACAGCAGGTGCCGGGGACCGGGGGGGCACGTGATTCCACACCCCCAGTCAGTCAGGGTAAACTTCCTGGGCCCTTGTCTGGATTACTGGCTGGGGGAGCTGCCCAGAGCACGCCTGTCCCCACCAACGGGCCTTGTCCTATCCTCTC